GATTAGTAGAATAGCTTACTAAATTCTGGGAACTAAACTATAAGCCTAGTACACTGACTAAATGACACTTGAGTGAACATGTACATCATATTTCTGAATTTACATCTGTTATATTGCTGCTTTGGATGAAAATGCATATTCAATTATATAGTTTAATTATATTGAAAGAAATATCGAGATTTTTAATAAGATCATAAAGTAGAGTGACATGGCCTATTTGTTGTTGTTGTTGTTGGTTTTCTTTTTTCTTTTTCTTTTTTTTTTGGTCTGGTCAGGGGGCCGGAACTCTGGGCCTGGGCACTGTCCCTCAGCTCTTCAGCTCAAGGCTAGCACTCTACCATTTGAGCCACAGTACCACCTCCGGCTTTTGTTTTTTCTGCTTATGTGGTGCTGAGGAATCGAACCCAGGGCTTCATGCATGCAAGGCAAGTGCTCTACCACTGAGCCACCTTCCCAGCCCTTGTTTTTCTTTTAGTAACAAACATTTATTTAAATCTTACATAACTCAAGCTTTATAAAAAGCCAACATGATTGGAAATTGGGTTCTCTCTCTAGTCTTAAATATCCAAAGCTTAAAACAGTTAATTTAAAAAAATAACTAAACAAATAAAATTAAATCCCCTGTAGAAAATTCTGATGAAATATTTTTAAACATTTAAGTGAGCTAAATCTTTACAAAAGTTATTCTAACTCAAAAGCTATAAAAATCAAAGTTATCTCCAAAAAGAAAGGGTGTTTGATTTCATGCCATCTTTTTAGAAGCACCTGTTTCTCATCAAATGTGTCCACAAATCAAAATTTTGTGTCCCTGTTTTCAGGAGATCCTCTTGCAGAAGAGAGCAAGTATAAACATGGGAAATAACTGCCTAGGCAAATAGGAAAGTCTTCCATAATAGTGTGCAAAAAACTGAAGAGTTCTAAGTCAACCTCTGAAACTTGATGTGGAACTTGATGTTGAGCAAAAGCTAAATGAGATCTTTCAGCAGCTCTTTTTGCAGGAGAGGACACAGAGCAGACTTCTGAATGGGGAAGAGTGAATGGGAACAAGACTGGCTCATTGATCAGGACTTTGACTTACTATCAAATTTAAATGTGAATATTTGGACATGCACATTTAAATGCATGTTTATTGTATAGTTCCATTTCAATGACTGTAATTAATATATTTACAAAATGTGAGATGTAAGCCTACCCAATAAATTTATTTATATGTTCATGAACAATGTACAGAGAACATATCAATTATACTATGCACATCTGCTTACCAAAATATGCTGTATCATATCTAAATTCTTCCAACTTATGTCAATAAAATATGTAGCCTTTTCAAATTACAATCCTCATATTTTCGAGTCTTTATATTCTCTTCTCTTAGACATTTCTCCCTTATCAGATTTATGGTCTATTCAAACCTTTTGGAATTTTGAATTTGGGCATTCACATGACACATGACAGAAGTTATATATTTTGATTTTAACAAAATGTTAATGTTCTCAATTCTGTCTCTTGTCAAAAATGTAGATGAGTAAGCTGGCTTAAAAAGCAAGACCAGGACATGTATTGTCTAAAAGTAATATATTTCACTTGATAAACAAACATTGGTTTGTGGTGAAAGGTTGGAAAAATATATCCCAAGCACATGAAGCCCAAAAGTTCAGATAGGAGTAGCTATACTCATATCTGATAGAGCAGACTGCAAAAAAAAAAAAAATTCCCAGATGAGACAAGGAAGGCTACTCACATTAATAAATAGAAAAAATCCCATCTAGATGACATAACAATTGTTAACATATATGAACACTATGGTAATTTAAAAAACATGATCTCCAAATAATCAAAATGGGAAAACTGAATGCTCCTTTATCACCAGACAAAAAATGCCAAAAAGAAACCTCAAAAATAAGTGATACTCTAGACCAAATGCACTTGACAGGCATCTGTGACTAGTCCATCAGCGGCTGCACAACATGCATCTTCTTTTTTTGTTGTTGGTTGTGGGGTCTGAAATCTGGGCCTGGGTGCTATCCCTCAGCTCTTCAGCTCAAGGCTAGCACTCTACCACTTGAGCCACAGCGCCACTTCCACCTTTTTCTGCTTATGTGGTGTTGAGGAATCGAACCCAGGGCCTCATGCATGCAAAGGAGGCACTCTACCACTGAGCCACCTTCCCAGCCCGTCAACACACATCTTCTGAGCAGAAAATGGAACACTGCCTAAGACAGAAAATACTGTAGGGCATGAAGTAAACATTACCAAATAAAAGAAAAATTAAAACTCTCTTCATTCTATCAAACCAAAATAGAAGAGAACTAGAACTCAATACCAAAAGAAACCACAGAAAAGACTGAAACAGTCTGAACAAAACACTAATGGATGATGATTTTAAGGTTGACTATTGACCAAATAGGAGGAAATTTAAAAGTTCCTAAAATATAGTGGAAATGAGAACATAGCCTGTCAGAATCTTGAGATACAAATGATAGTCCTAAAAGGAAAGTTCATTGCTATTAATGACAACATTAAACACACATGCACACAGAGAGAGAGAGAGAGAGAGAGAGATCTCAAATAACCTAATGAGGCCCAATAGTATATAAAGAGAAGATCTGGAGGAGAGGGCTGTGAGAGAATAAAGAATAAGAAAATACCTAATATTTGTGTATCAAGACAATATAATGAAACTCACCAATAGCATGTATAATAGATATAAGAATGATGGGGAAATAGAGTTCCTCTTATTAATGAAATATGGTGTGTGTTTGAATACCATGCATCTTGAAATCTTTTGAACCATTAATATACTACTACCAATAAATGAATGATAGGAATATAAAACAAATTCTATACAAGGGTTATTAATGAAAGGAAGGAGAGTGGACTGGGACAGTGAAAGGGCGAATATAGGTGAAGGGCTTTATATGTAAGTATGAAAATAGAACAAAACCTGTTGAGATTGTGGGAAAAGGGAGGGAGGGGAGGGAGATCAATAAAAAGAGTAAATCTGGGGCTGAGAAGGTGGCTCAGCGGTAGAGCGTTTGCCTTGCATGCATGAGGCCCTGGGTTCGATTCCTCAGCACCACATAAGCAAAAAGAAAAAAAGCCGGAAGCGCTGTCGCTCAAGTGGTAGAGCGCTAGCCTTGAGCTGAAGAGCTGAGGGACAGCACCCAGGCCCAGAGTTCAAGCCTCACAACCGGACCCCCCGCCCAAAAAAAAGAGTAAATCTGGACAGTGTACATGGTAAGGTAATATGGATATGTCAAAGAAATCTGTACAACAACCTATGCTAACAAACAACAAATAAACAAAAACTAAAGTAATAAGTAAATAATAAATAGCTAGGATTAATTATATTTAAAAAGGAAGATACAATAATGGTTAACAGTATATGAATAGATATTCATCATCAATAAACATAAAAGAAAGAGAAAGAGAGGGGCTGTTTTGCCCCAAATAGAATGACTATAATCAAAAAGACTAAAAGAAGAAATACTGATATGGATGTAGAATGAATCATACAGACTACTGAATGAATGTAAATTAATCACCCATTATGGAAACCAGCATGGAAGTTTTCTCAGATGCTGACTGGAGCTATCATAAGGTTGGTTTACCATCACAGTCTACACCAGACTACAAATTTTTAGTATCACATTTTTATCACACTTTTCCAGTCATGCATTAAATTGAATGGGATGATCTGCCATAATAATGACATATTTCACCATGTTTAGCCATTTCATTTTTAAAATTTAGACTCAGTATGTGATGAAATACATACTTGTTCTCAAGAGAACTATATAGATAGGTAAGATATAGATCTAATACATTTACTAATAAAATCTCTGAATGAATTAGTATTCTAATTGATTTAGAGCCCTGATGGCTCATCTATAATCTTAGCTACTCAGGAGGTTGAGATCTAAGGATTGAGATTCAAAGCCAGCTCAGGCAGGAAAGTCTCTAAGATTCTTACATCCAATTAACTTCCGAAAAGCCAGAAATACAGCTGTGGCTCAAAGTGGTACATTACTAGCCTTGATCAAGAAAGCTCAGGGAAAAAAAAAAAAGAAAGGGAGGGAGAGAAGGGAAGAATGAAGGTAGGAAATGAAAGAAAAATACAAATATAAAATGTTCTTATTATCACATGATTTGAATGAACCTAAATGGAACAAGTTTGGTTTAATAAAAGTAACTTTAGGATAACTTTAGGATACTTTAATAAAAGTAACTTTAGGATAACTTTAGGATAACAGGCTAATGCCTGTTATCCTAGCTATTCAGAAGGCTGAGATCTGAGAAGGGCAGTTTGAAGCCATCCCAGGCAAGAAATTCTCTGAGGCGCTTATCTCCAATTAACCACCAGAAAACCAGAAATGGTGCTGTGGCTCAAAGTGATAAAGCACTAACCTTGAGCAAAAGAGCTCAAGAGCAGCACCCAGGCCCCAGTTCAAGCTTTATGATGAGAAAAAAATTCATTCATTCATTTAATTATATATTCTGGTGAATTGTAATCATGGAATATGAATACTTAATCAAAAATTTAAAAACAAATTTGAGTCATAACATCCAAAGAATATTTACTTAACTATATTATTATTTGACCTTTAGCTCTATGCAAAGAAGACAGTTGCACCTACCCTTAATACCATTCTGAAGTCATGCAAGGTCATTCAGCCAAGGCTTTAAAAAGCAAAGCAATAAAACTAACTTTTAGAGTGGCATTGCCCCAAAAAAGTACTATTTTCTTGACTTACATAACTATAACCCCTTTGTACATCACCTTTATATTAAAAATAAAAATATTTTTTTAAAAACAACTTTTTTAACCCTGAGTTTGTTTACCTGAAACACACATGATCCAGCTGTTCGTATTATTTATTCAACTTGAAATACAGGGGTTACATTTTAACTTCTTGATTGATCCATTTCTTACGCAAAAACGTTTTAAAAAATCATAAAGAAAAATAGCAAGCATAAAAGAAACACTGGATTCCACCAAGATGTCTGCAAAATGGATTTCTTTTCTTCTAATAGTACCGCTGATGTGTTACTTTAGCTCTGGACATGGTGGGAAAGTATTGGTGTTGCCTGTGGATTATAGCCACTGGATCAATGTCAAGACAATGCTGGATGAACTTGTCCAGAGAGGCCATGAGGTGACCGTCCTGCTACCAGCTGCCTCAATTTTTATTGATCCCAACAAATCGCCTACTATTAAATTTGAGATTTATGCTACATCTTTGAGTAAGAGTGATCTGGAAGATCTTTCCCAAAGGTTTCTCCACCAAGTTATATATGGAATTTCACAAGAACCATTTTGGATATATTATTCCAAACTGCAAAGTCTCTTCAGGATGTATTCTGATGCTGTGGAACAACTGTGCAAAGATCTAGTTTTGAACAAGGAACTTATGACAAAACTACGAAAGTCAAGGTTCGATGTCATTCTTGCAGATGCCATGGTTCCCTGTGGAGAGCTGCTGGCTGAGCTACTAAAGCTCCCTTTTGTGTACACTCTCCGCTTCTTACCTGGCTACACTTATGAGAAGTACAGTGGGGGGCTTCCAGTCCCTCCTTCCTATGTGCCTTTAGTCCTTTCTGAACTAACTGATCAAATGACTTTCATGGAGAGAGTAAAAAACATGATGTTTCTGCTTTATTCTGACTTTGGGTTTGAAATATTCACCGTGGAGAGATGGGATCAGTTTTACAGTGAAGTTCTAGGTAAGCTGTATCTTTTTACTGCTTAATCCTAATCACCAGATCCCTTTGAAGGTAAGCTTATGTATGTAATATAAAATCAGAAGACTAAGGTATTATGAAATGAAGAATGTAAGATATAACAAAAGGAATGAGCTAAATTAAGAGTGAACATAAATCTATATTTTAAGAATTTATCATTTCTAACCGTGACTTACACACACACACACACACACACACACACACACATATATATACATAACTAGTTAATACTATTAATCTCCTAGCCTCTAACTTCTGCAGCTGTCACCACAAATTCAGTTATAGTTGCAAAACTCTTAGTATTCCATTGGACAATAACAAATCATGGGCAATGCTTGCTAAACTTTAGAAAGCAGTCTGAGTTTCCATGAGAAAGCTGTTTCAGAAAGAACAGTAGGATAAATTCTGGAGGTCAAAAAAGTTCTCAATCAATTTATATTTGTTATTTTTATGGTTTTGAGAAAATATAACATATAAAATATATGAAATATAGACATATTTCTTTTGTCAAAATACAGTAACTAAATATCTTGCCTACATTATACTTATTAATTTCAGGAAGTCACCTACTAAATGGAAGATACAATATACTTATTACCCAGCTTTTTATCGTCTCTGCTTTATTCAGGGAGACCTACCACATTATCTGAAACAATGGGAAAAGCTGACATCTGGCTCATTCGAACCTATTGGGATATTGAATTCCCTCGTCCACTCTTACCAAACTTTGAATTTGTGGGAGGACTCCACTGCAAACCTGCCAAACCTCTGCCTAAGGTAAATTTACCCTGTTGGCCATATTGCTTTGCTCTGCACATTTGTTGGAACTAATAACAGCCAAGTGTCTATATCACTGAGAAAAATACAAGAAGTGAGACAAAGTATCCTACTGATTATGGATTCATGCATTTCTATACCATCACAACTCTCTGTGTAATGGCAAAAGAGGATGATGTCTGGGATTCTGAGAATATGCTCACTTAAGTTTGAGCCTTCATTATACAATTCATAAGAAAGGATGAATCATTCCTTGAAAGAATATTAAAGGATAATTAAAGAATATTAAAGGATAATAATATATCAGAGGTAAATGTGGGATAGGCTGAGACATAAAGTTTCTGAACAACACAAACATTCCACTTACAGAGACTGTAACAAGTAATAAATATTCTGTGAAAAGTGTTATAGAAAACAATGTTAAGGAAACATCTATCAGAGATCACAGAAAATATCTTAGACTCCTTGATCAATAAGAATAGTACCTGAACAGTATGCCAGATTAGGTGAAGGTAGGAGTGGAGGAAGAAGACACTTAGTAAATAAAGGCAGAAATAGAAGGGTAATTCCAACTCTAAGTTTAGCAGGAAGAAGATGAATAAAGAGGCAGATGGTCCATTGGTCCAAACTCCTAATAATTTTCTGGATTAAACTTACAACTCTAGCATCATATTCTTTGTTGTTGTTGTTGTTGTGGGGCTTGAACTCAGGGCCTGGGTACTGTCCTTGAGCTCTTTTGCTCAAGGCTAATGCTTTGCCACTTTGAACCACAGCACTACTTCTGGTTTTCTGGTGGTTCATTGGAGATCAGGGCCTCGTGTACTTTCCTGTCTGTCTGGCTTCTGCCACATCTCAGCCTCCTGCGTAGTTAGGATAACCAGCAAGAGCCATCAGGGCCCAGCAATAGTCACTTTTTAAATAAAACATTTGATCATATGCTTCACATTACTATACCATAGAAATGTGGATCATATGATAAAGGACTTTGTCAGAAGTATTAGCTGATCTTCCATAGTCATGTGCAGCATGATAAAGAAAAACCCTATAAAAGTGATGTATGTAATTTTCAATATGCATCTTCTAGCAAGATGGAGATTCATGCAAGAAAATATAGAGAGAGAAGCCATATGTTTGTGATAGACATAGAGAGATTTCTTCAAGCTAACACACTGACCTAGCATGTAACCTAACATATGTAACACCTGTGGGGGGAAAAAACATGTGACTTTAGTTCTGATTCCACTTTTTCACAAAAACATACAGGTGAAAAACCATGCATTTATGATATTTGTAGGCAAAACATTATTTCCTAAGGAAACATTTTCAAACACTTTCAGGAGAAACCATTTTCAGCAAATTGTGTGACTGTGTGGAAATTCTTACACAGCGATATTAAAATTTTAAACAAGTACAAAAACAAAGGTCCATGCTGGTGTAGATAAAAGTCCATGGATCCCAGTGTGGAGGATCATTCTTGTAATGAACAAGTTTCCTTTGTTAGAAACTGTACATGTGAAACTTTTGAGAGGCCTCTTCCACTAGCTCTTCCACTTAGAACTGAGGGCAGCTCCATCCTTCTCCCCATCACAGATGGTTGACATGATGTCAACTATGAAGGAGTATTTAAAACCTCAGTTGATTCTTTACAATTACACTGTCTTTGTAAAGAATGGAGCATTACCAAGATATCTTTGGTAATGTGCATATATTTGCATTCACTTGAAAAAAAAAAGAAATGAATAAAACCTTATCATTATCCATAGACTACCTCAATTAACAGGATTTTACTAAGTACATGTAATAAAAAATCACCTTGTTAAATTATTTTATTAAACATCTTAAACCATATAGCCTTAGTTTATATTCATTATGAGGTGTCAAATAATAAAAAATAGTTTCAGTACATTTGTAGGAAGAATATACAAATATTGAAAATCACTATATGGTTCATATGTATACTTGGTTAAATAAAGACCAGGATGGATGCCTACACTTGTGAGCCAGAGAACCCCTACATGAATTATGAGTAAAAATAAGACAAAATTTTATATAATTTTCACTCATAATATTTGTTAATACTTTTCGGAGTTTTCTTATACTGAGTTTTTTTTAATATTCTTACTAAAGAATATTACAGTTAAGAAATGATTAGTCCATGACACCAATTGGCAAAAAGAGATTTTCTTACAAATTGGAGTATAGGGAAGATTTTCAAAGAGACAAAAAATATGCTAAGCAGGAAGACAATGTACAGAATGCAACTGGTAATCAGAATCACACAGTATTTGAATGTATCAAAATTCTAGGAATAGTGCAGTGGTTTTAATCAAGACCTATTTCCATCCATTTAAGTTTATCCTTTTAAGTTTTTTATTTTTATTTTTCTGTACATTTGTTTTATACTAAAAGATAATATTAAATAGACCATCTTAAGATGGTCTTTTTTTACACATAGGGAAAGAAAATGATAAAATGGAACGGGAGAAAAGATGAGTTTACCAATTTTGCAAAATATGTAGAAACTTTTGCCTCTTCTGTCATTCTTTTGTGGGTGGCTGAATTTACTAATATGTGACAGAATTTGAGATATGTAAAATTATTCTTATTTATGAAGACATAACTTTTTTTTTCAGGTAAGGGATAGGTTTATTCAGTAGACCTGCTGGGACCAGGCAAGGTTGGCACTCCACGTGGCTGGGAAAGAGAGAGAGCAAGAAAAGAACAAAGAGCTAGAATAGAACAGAGAGAGCAAGAAAAGAGCAGCAAGAGCAAGAGCACAAGAGCAAGAGCAAGAGAGTGAGTGAGTGAGAGCAGAAAAGAAGAGCAAGAGCAAGAGAGCATCTGGGCCTGGGCTAGGCCTTCTGTAGGGTATGGGCTGGGAAAGGTGTGGCCACATCAAATTCAGATGTGACCTCAGCGGATGCAGATGTGACCTCTTCCAGGTGTCCCAGTTGCCTAGGTAACACAGATACTGGGTGGAGACTTTGCTGCGAGGAGGGTGGAGTCTGCTTGCCATCCAGGGGCAGACCTTACATTCCAGCCTTTTAATAATCATGAAATAGGGCGAGGATTCTCTCTGGCTACTTCCTGCTGACAAGGGGCATTGACAATAGGGGTAAGAGGCTGGAATTTGGTCTCCTCCCAGAGAAGGCAGTAAGCAGCAGCTGTCCCTTGGTGGATTGAGTCCTCAGGTGAAGTCTGGAGAAGTCTCATGAGCATTGAGAGGCTGGAAAAAAAATACTAAACAGCAAATAAATGGCAAGAGGAAGGACTTGGGGCTGTTGGTAGAAATGTCCCTAGCTGCTTCTGACATCTGGCGACTAGGTAGAGAAGTCAGGTGACAAAGGCAAGAATATAAATTCCTGTTCCATTAATAGGTAGACAGGTATAGACATTGGCTGGGTAGGCTTCTTACTTCTACTGACCTCCCGGCTCAGGTTAATTTTGAAAGGGCAGGCACAAAGTAGCTGATGTGACATCACCTCTTACTCCTCTCCATGTTCCCTTGTTCCCCAGACTGGCTGAGTCTAGGTGCTTCGTTGGCTGGGATGGCTTGTCCCAGTTGGTATTCAAGATTTGAACTCAAGGCCTGGGCACTGTCCCTGAGCACTTCTGCTCAAGGCTAGCACTGAACCACTTTGAGTTATAGTACCACTTGCAGAGTTTAGCTGGGAGATGGAGTCTTAGGGATTTTTCAGCCCGGTCTGGCTTTGAACTGAAGTCTTTGCTACAAAAGCCCTTTATTATTTCCAATTAAACAACAAGGAGATCAAGTAGAATAAGTAGAGCTTACCTGGTTCTTATCAAGAATTGCCAACAAATATTCTGAAATGACAAAACTCATTAGATGTGATGAGAATTTTAGCACAGATATGCCCAGTATTTTAGAACCACGTAGTCAGTAGTAGAATACACAACACAAAACACAAAAGGCAAAACTCAAAAC